AGAGGCACAGTTGGTTTGGTCAGATATTTTACCGTGCGCCTGTTACTTTGGGTCTACTAATCCATCACAAATGGAAAAGAAGCGCCGTGCAATCAATAGGTGGGCATGTTTGCTTGGTATTCGACTGGGAGTGCCAGTGCTGCATCATCCTCAGTTCCGATGGTTGGAGTTCACATTGTATCGTTATGATGGCACCCACTTACCTGACATAGGCAACAAATATTTTAGAGCCAACTTAAAAGACTACATCATTACTGCCTTTGAAAAATAGAATCGTTTCCCGGGATGTGGGCCTAATTGGTGGCATTGTTCAAGTGTTTGCTTGCGTAGGTAGTATCAGAAAGGGAGGCTCAGATGTCTGGGTGGTCGTCCCAGTGGGGTGCGCGTTGCGCCTCTGGCAGGAACTACCTGGGAGCGACACGCAGTTTCCAAAGTAAACAAACAAACAATTTAGGTGACTTATCTTGCAGTGATTATAACGTAAAATTAGTTGTTAGAAATGTTTCATTTTGTTTTTCTTAAACACTACGCCAAGCACCCTCTTGCTCTGGTGGGACTTATTCCAACTGCTTGTTCAAGCGGTGGAAAAAACGGCATGCTTTATGTAAGATTTTCTTAATTTGTAAAGGATAAATAGAATCACATGACTAATAATTATAGGACAAGCACCTACTGGTTCCGGTGGGGTTTGTCTGCATGGCAAGTGTGCCAAGGAATTCCAACCTGTTATGCAAAGTGTGGCAAGTCTTTCTGCTAACAACCTTGCCTTTTTCTGCCAAGTGTGGCAAGCCTTTGGCGAGTTCGTTCCTGTTTTTCTGCCAAGTGTGGCAAGTATGGCAAGTGTGCCAGGAAAATCTTACAGAATTTCTGCCAAGTGAGGCAATAGAAAGTGGCTTTGAAATCGGCCAAAACAAATAAACCTGCCGCTCGAGATCTTTGCCAAAAACCAAAACGTGGTGTCAATGTGTGGTTTGTGCACATATAGTTGGAGAATAATTTCTATCCACACATTGACCACTTGTGTATTTTATTTTTTCCCGGCACCACTGCATTTTTTATTCGGAGCATCTATCCCAACCCATCAAAATATATTCATTCCTTCCTCCTGAGCATTTATTTTCTATCCACACTTAGACCACTTGTGGTTTTTATTTTTTCCTGGCACCACTGCATTTTTTATTCTCTATTTTATCTCTGCAAAGATAAAATCCATTATTCTCCGCAGAGACATTATTTGGGGGGGAGGGAAGGTCGCGGTATTTGTACTGTCCATCGGCTAATCACGCCTAGGGGTTTGGAATACAGACGGGAGTAATATATCTCCTCTGGTTGCACCTGCTGGCCACCCCCTTGCCAATAACCCTGAATGACCATAGAGGACAGAGGGGAATGACTTTGTTAATGTGGGTAACCTCTCCCAGGAAGATAGATAATATGCATGTACATCGGAATACAATAACTATATGCTCGGCCTAGTTTGTGCCAAAAAGCCACATTGGTTTAGTTTTTCGAAGCCATCGCATGAAAATCGAACCCCCCGCCTCCCCATTGCCTCCTGGCATTGTGATGTATCAGAACGGCAGAAATTCACTGGGAGCGACGGGCAGGGCCTCTTTGCATACTAAAGGAATAACTAAATTAGTTTTCAAGGTTTTAAGTTTTGAGCATGTTAATCATTCTTGTGTTAATGTTAAGGAATACACGCCAAGCACCCTCTTATTCTGGTGGAAAAACACAGCGTTTTTCTTCAAGTTTAACTCTTAGGTAATCTGCATAGTAGTTCAAGTCACATGACAGATTGAAACACTGTGACTAGCACCTACTTGTTCAGGTGGCGCTAGTTTCCAACCGTAACTGCGAACGGTGGACACACGTGGTGGATAAGTGTCAAGCGTGCCAAGGATGCCAAGCATGGCAAGTTTTGGGCAAGTTTGCCCTTGTTATATGGCAAGCGTGCCAAGCATGCCAAGCGTAGTCAGTTGTTGGGGCAAGTGTGCGCCCTATTCCATATGCAAAGGTGCTAAACTTGTGTGCTTACAGTGGCGGTCACTAAAAACTCCTCACATAAGGCTGTCTGTTTTTCGTTCAATTCCATCACCGGTCCTCGTTGGAATCCCTGCCGATATGCACATAACTGCCGTCGGTGTGGCTGTTCAGGGCATGGAGCAGCGTCATGCAGAGTGGCCACGGGGACAGCTCCCCACGGTTTTCCCGTGAAACAAGGGACTGCGCCCAGTGGCGCAATCTACACACGCTACACGAAGACCACACTGACGACTGCAGCAGGCGGGCGGCAGGCATTTAAGTCGGCTATGCAGGGGCCAGAGGCTCCCCCCGGAGCAAACAGCAGCCAACAGTTCAGTGGCGAAAAATGAGATAGAAACACCACTTTTCGTCCCCCCAACACCCATTAACTTAGAAGTGCTACGGCAATGGTTATTGGAATATACGAACAGGGAAGCAGCTGTTCTGTTAGAGGAAGGTTTTTCATAGGAGTTTTCTCTTGGTTTTCAGGGCCCTAGAGTTAGCAGAGATTCTAAATTTCTTAAGTCGGCATCGGACATGCCTGACATAGCCCTTAAAAAATTGCAAAATGAAATTGTTCTTTGGGAGAATTGCCGGACCTTTCACACACCGACCTTTGCCCAATCTCCAATGTTCTCCAATTGGGCTGGTGCCTGAGCAGCAACCCAATTCCTTTTGCCTTATCCATCATCTGTCTCATCCCCGGGGGGCTTCGGTGAATGACTTTATTGACAAAGAGGACTGTAAAGTCCATTATACGTTGTTCGATACGGCAGTTGGGTTAGCCGTGTCTGCAGGTCCAGATGCATGGTTGGCAAAGACGGACATTAAATCTGCCTTTAGACTCCTTCCCGTCAATTTCAAGATAAGTTTTATTACGATAGGTGCCTACCGATGGGCTGTTCTGTTTCATGCTCGCTATTTGAAACCTTTCAGCACATTTTGGAGTGCCACGCGAAGCAGGTTCTACATGTAGGAACACAGTTCATCACGCATTACTTGGATGATTTCCTATTCCTAGGTACGTCTTTTCAGCGATGTGCAATCCTTATGAATACCTTTCAAGGGCTTTGTGTCAAGCTGGGGGTGCCACTAGCAACCGAAAAGACAGAGGGCATTTTTTATCCAGAGCATCTATCCCAACCCATGAAAATACACAAATTCTTTCCTCCGTCTTTTTCTGTCCAAACCAAGACCACACGTGGTTTTTATTTTTTTCTCGGAAGCCCCATAAAACCATTAAGAATATGAATGAAATGTTTCTTTTACTATTCAGCATCTACTAGTGTAAATATTAGCAAATGGTTTTACCATTTGGCTGTGTAGTCAGCCACAAGGGTAAAGCATTTGCCATTTGGCTGTGTAGTCAGCCAAAAGGGTAAAGCATTTGCTAATATTTTCACTAGTAGATGCTGAATAGTAAAAGAAACATTTCATTCATATTCTTAATGGTTTTACTTCTCATGAAATGCTTTTGCTGATTGCTTGAAGTTCATAGAATTTGCTAGTTTTTATTCATTGATACGACCCAATGTGTGCGATCGCCAACGATTGTTCCTGTTCAACTTAAACTTCCCCAAGTCCTAGAAATTACCAATTATTGCGGGGTGGATTACAGTCCTCGTTGGGTGGGCTGTGGAGTAGTTCTTTTGTTTGAATTTTTGGAACAGTCACCAACTGACCAGTAAAAATAAATAATATGGATTACACAGCTGTAAATAACAAAAACAAACAGACGCGCCACACAATTTGAGTGGTGTGAAACGGCACAAACGCGGGTAACTTTACAAGTCTACGTGTATTATGTCTCTCTGCGCTGGTTGCCTTTATTTCCTACACATGAGAAGACTAGTTGTAAAGGGCAACCAACGAAAACATTAACGACTTGTTTCCGGAGAGCGCAAGCAGATTTAATTCTTAAAACATTGTGGTATTAGCCACCCCAGAGTATAAGCTCCAGGGATATTTTTCAGTGTGAGAATCATACATGTATGAAGCTGCCGCTTACACTCCGAAAATTACGGTAGATACAGGCTAGACCTACATTGCAATACATTCTTAAAAGCAGGCGTGTTACTGTTAGGATCAGCCGCAGGTCCAGACTACGTCCCCCAACAACCTTCATGACTTTTCCAAAATGATGAGTCAATAGTAAACTTTTTTTTTTCTGTGTTTTAGCTTTGTGCAGAATACATGTATGTCTCCAATAAAAAAGGCAAATCAGTGGCAGCACGCCATGGCGGACAGTGTGTGTCATAAAATTCGTTCAGCCATGAACCATTGTTATACATGTTTTCTACCAGCGCCGCACATCGGCGGGCTGCGGGAGGCTGCTGTGTGTGCATGTGCAGCGCAGGTCGGCGGACCGCAGCGCGCCTATAAAAATAATATGGACGTCGAGCCTTAAAGGTCACAAATGTTTGGGGAATTTCTCTGTTTGAGGGCACGCGTGAAAAGGGGTTAAAGGTCACGGGGTTTAGGGAAGTCCCTGCCGCGCTGGGGGTAGTGAAGTCCCTGCTGATCTTGAACTCTCCCATCCCTACTACTGCTTTTGGCAAATCATGACACTCTAAAGACCTTTTCTCAGTGATGTCACGATCGTGCTGGACCTACACGTGTGAAGTGTTCTGATGGTAATCTACCTATTCAACTGGTCAAGCATCCAGTGTTCGCACATGCAATTGCACATGGTTGTAGCTGCCTGTAAGAATGTACGCGATCACTGTGGCCAAGGCAGTCCACACGCAGTGGTATTGTTCACATTTAGTCACGTGGGTGAAAAAGGTCTATCCATCAAAGAGACATGTAGTGCACACGTACCACCTGTCCACAAGCATTGTGCCACTGCAGAAATGGTTTCTAAATTCTGGTTGTCAAATTACACAATAATCCTATTTGTTTCTTCTGCCCAATACCAACAATAAAATGCATTCTGTGCATTCAAGACTTCAATATACTGAGGTATTAAGGCTTACCTTTACAAGATTCCCAAGAATCATGCGTTGTGCATCGCCATTCTTGTAATTCTTTACAGTAGCAAATTTTTGAAGTAACTCTTTGTGATCCTCACTTGAGATCTTGCCTTGTGCAAGCATCAGATCCAGAAGTTCATCATTCCTCTCCCACTCCCTATCCACAGAATATGAGACACCAACAGACTTGGGCCGGATTGTCTGGATAGATTCTTGAGGGCTGCCTTCACGTTCAAGGGAAGAGTCCCTGCCTGTTGATCGCTGGCGAGAGAAGTGCTTCAAAAGACTGAGTCCTCTAGTCTTTCCATAGAAGCGATCCTGAATATATGGAGAGAAAAGTCATTTATAACAGAAATACTGAAAACCTTGAGCCTAAATATATCAGCAAGTGTTCCATAATGTTGACGCAGGTCACTGCACATTTCCTAGCAATGAATCACACTTTGTACTTATCAACCAAACAGTTAACAAGTGGTAGGAATTGATAATTTTTTCTTTGAAGTATTTGGCTTATTCGCAAGTTGCGAAAAAGGCATTACTTCTCTTCTGTTTTTTCTTTCTTCATATTCTTCTTCTGACGCACCCAAATCACCTTTGTTTTGAACACGTTTCTTCCACCACTAACTTTAATAGCAGCAACTTTGGATATTCATCAAACTTACATCAATAAAGGACCCTTGTGTAAAGATGTGTCTAGAGCAATGATGTCATGATGACGTCATCAGGTGATTCATTATTGATTTTTTAATATTTATTTCAACCCATTGACTTTGTACACGTTTTCAAGGCAACTTTTTGGTTTAGCCATCTTCAATTGCAACCAAAGTTACAGCCAACAAAGACCCTGATACAAAAATAAGTCCAAATTTATGACATCATGATGATGTCATCATGCAATTTTTTATTGATTTATATTTAATTTTTCCCCATAGGTTTTTACACGTTTTCAACAGCCAGACTTCAGGACTCTGGTCAATCTAATTGATTTGATATTTGTGTACACTCACAGTCCACCATGAAAAAAGGGTACCAGAACAAAATCGTCCTAATGACATCATGAGGGATCATGTAACATTAGGTTAAAACTGCAGTTTTTCTCCTTAAGTTTTGTACAGGTTTTTGTACACACGTTTATCGATTTTGGGCTGAAGAATACTATGGAGTATGAGAACGAAAGAGAAATCATATTTTTTCTTTGTTTGATTTGAAATATATCCAATAGTCAGAATATCAAGTAATATTTCATAAAAATGTTTCAGTTTAAATGCAAATCACGTGACTTGAATTTAAAGGTGTAGTTTTTCTGCACTGGGAATATTTTAGCCCCTTGATATTGTACACGTTTTCAAGCCACCATATTCATAACTCGGCGAGCTTCAATAGTCATCAGAATGTAGGGGAACGATTAGATCTGATTTTGCCCCATAATTCACAAATATGACCAATAGAGGGCGCTCGTCTCTTGGAAAAGTTTAGTGCCCAAAGTTAACCGCGCTGGCAGCTATGTAGGTGTATACATACCGTTTCTAAAAATAGACCTTGTATCCATGCAGCGGAGGGATACGCGCCATTTCTGTTTGACCTTTGGCTTTTGTGTGACATGTACATGTATAGAGCATGCATGACGTGCGTGATGTCTTGAAGTTGATATGAGGGGAGTTGACGTGTAGCTAGCTGGGGAGAGAGAAGGGGAAAGTTTTTGGTCTCTTTTTCCCGGTTCCATTTTCGGAATGGAGTAGAGTAACAGCTGGTGCAGCCTTACTTGCCTTCTCCCCTGGAACATGAATGTGATGATTTGATGTGGAATCTGAGTAAGATCATGTAAATAAATCAGCAACTTTCTGAAGGTCTGAACTGCCATTCTCTGAGTTTTGTTCGACTGTGATGTACCATGTGTCATCGGTATAGCACCAAGCAGCGCAACCCCGCGCATACTACAAGAAGTATGGCAAAGAAAGACCGTTATACAATAATGATGCCCAAGATAATGAAATAGTGATGACATCATTACCTATTTTTTAAATTGATTTTTAATCTTTAATTTTCCCCATAGGTATTCTACACGTGTTTAAACAGCCAGTCTTCGAGACTGGTCAATCGGACAGATTCCATATTTGTGCACACTTGTAGTCCATCATGCAGAGAGGGTCCTAGGACACAATCATCATAATGATATCATCAGGGATCCCATGACATGAGATTAACCACTTCGGGCCGGGGCATTTTTCAACG